GCATGTCCCAACCCATTTGTGGCAACAATATATAAACTCTGGTCACAGTAAGGCTAACCGCAGAAATACACTGGTCCAAACTACTGCTAATGCTAGCCGGAGCTAATGCTAATGCTGGCTTGAGCTGCTAACGCTCCTGTTGAACAAGGAGAAAACAACAAAGAAGAATGTTGGCACAACACTCACATTCCAGGATGTAATGGGAATGTCTAGACTACAAATGAATGCCAGATAGAGCCACAGCTAGTAGTTTTTTCCCCATCACTTCATCCCTCACGTGTCCACACTGCCCACGCTCCAAACCCCCCACCCCCTGGCCCTCATTAGTTTCAGGCAGCGTCATAGATTTATTTGGATGACTGACCAATCGCGGTTCATTTAATATTTAGTTCCTGGCCTAGTGGGCAGGGAAAACCTGTCTTTTATTGTGGAGCTTTGTTATGTTTTTTTGGCCATTTATGAGGGCTCCTGGGCCATTGTGAGCCCCAACAGAGTTTCCTGTGACAAAAAGAGGCTCAAATAACAGTTTTCAACTATAAAAAACCTTCTAGGACAGCTTTAAGATCTTTCATAGATGTTGTTTCACAAAACTGGACACAAAATTTATTAAAAGAAATATGAATATTTTACTTCTCGTGAAAACATAAATGAGTGAGATTCTCTATATAATTGATTTCAGTCCACTGCTGTATAAAAGATGGTGCGAGTGCAGCGTGCATTAATTCAACACATCTAACTAGATCAACAAAAGCTTCAGTTTATTGACCAGAAAGCCTCAAGGCTTATAGAATTATTTCATTAGTTTCTTTCAGGCTTTCAGAATAATTCAGCTTCTGAAAAATAAAGATGTGGTGCAATTTTCCTTAAAAGAGTGATGATAAAAAAAGTGTAAATGTTCTACAGAGCCTCAAGTTGCAGACATGTTCTTGTGTGGCGTTTCTTGCTTCATCACGTCTTGGTTTGATGACCACCTGTATGATTTATTTAAAGTATTCACTTTGCATGTTAAAACTAATGCATTAAGCTTTTTTAGAATAGGGGTTTAAAATAGAAAGGCTAGTTTGCTAGAACGTCTAGATGTGGTTGTGTGGTGGAGGTTGTTGATTTTGATGGGGAGAAGATCTAGTTTCTGCCTTTCGCAGATGCTTCATTGGCCTTCAGCTCGTTCTGGGGAGGTTTGCAGCTTGAAGTAGCTGGAAGGATGATGACTGTTGAGTTGGATTTATGCTTCTCCGTCAGCTCCAAAAGGGAGAGACCCGCACGCGCGGATGGAGACAGTTTGCCCTCATACTTCTCCCTCTCCTGGGGAGTGTAGCAAAGCAATTCCCCGCCAGGACAACAGAGGGCGTAGAGCTGTTCTGTAGTATCCTGTCGTATCCGGTCCAAGATAGTGTGTTTATATTGTGTTTTTTTTTGTATATAAGAGACTTTTTAACACAGACAAATTTGTCTCTCATTCTCCTCCACCTCTTCATGCTCTCGCCACCTCTAAACCCACGTTTCCTGTCTTTTCCGTCCACAAATGAAACGCTTGCTGCGTATCTTTGCACTCCTCCAATCACGGGAGAATTTAACTTTCATATTTTTAGAGTTTTTTCGTGAGGTGTTCTTCAAGCTGCTCCGTGTCTGCTGCTAGTTATCCTCGGCTCTTTTCATGTTTTTGAGGGCGCAGTGGCGGTGCCCTGACCAATCACAAGCTTGCGTTCTCCGTCTCGATGGACAGATGTTTAGACAAGAGAGCTCAACTCCGACGGTCCTTGAGAGGGCTCTCCAGCAGGCTCGCAAGGACGGATAATGGCGTTGCGTGTCTCCGCACCGACACAGATGCAGAAGCATGACTCAGGCTTAAAGGAGGCAGCTTACTCTGACCTATGACCCAGAGCTTCAGGTAATGACTGAAAGGAAAAGACAACAGGCAGAGTAGGGATGTAAGAAAATATTGATACTCTGACAGAGCAGAGTTTTCCATATAAATTCTGTTTTTAAATTCACAAATATCAGTCTTTTAGTATCGCGATATATCGTATCGTATTGTATTGTGATACATATCGTGTCACCAGATTCTTGCTAATACTCAACCCTAAAACAGATTAAATGAGTGTCTTCTGCATGGTGGCCATGATCAGCTGAAGTGGTTGCTGCATGAAAAATGCCCCCTGACTCCTCCCATGGGAGGCATCTGCAAGTCCTTCTGATATGAACCCTTCATCCCACTAGAGGAGCTGGCAGAAGTGGCTGTGGAAGAGGACAGTTGCCCTGGCGATCCCAACAATAATAAACAATAGAAAAAGGCTACTGATGTGTATAAGCAAGAGATTTGGCAACGGCTCCTAAGCTCAATCAATCTAAATATTGTTCACTGTTTAATTTAAGCTTCTGTTTTTTAAAGGTTTAACATTTAAAATGAAATGTTTGAGAAGAAAAGGTAAGAATTAGCTCTGAACAAAGACCAGAGATAAGAACTTGTCACCCACACCTTCATCTCCTCACGCTTAGACTGCTGCAACTCACTTTTCTGTCTGAGCAGAACCTCCCTGAACCGTCTGAAGGGGGTTCAGGATACCCGTGCTCAGATTCTGATCAAATCCCACATCACCCCGCTTCTCCTCCAGCTTCACTGGCTGCCAGTCAACTTCAGGGTTCATTTCAAGGTCCTGGTTCTGGTTTTCAGGGCCTTACATGGACAAGCACCATCATGCATTGGTTATCTTCTCAGTCCCTACACCCCCAGCAGGTCCCTGAGGTCCAGTGACCAAAGCCAGGTTGTGCAGCACACCAGGCTAAAGACCAAAGGTGACAGATCATTTGCTGCTGTGGCCCCCAGACTCTAGACCTTTCTCGCCGTGAGCCTGAGATCAGTGGACTCAGTGGTCTCCTTTAAAAAGCAGCTGAAACTCACCTGTTCAAGCTTTAGCGTGATCTTCATCACCACCCTCTCCCTATTCTGCTCTTTTTACCAACTCCACCTTCCACTGATTTCCTCCTTTCTTATTCAGTTTCTCCTTACCGTTCCTTGCATTTTTCAATCAGCAGCCTTTATTTTTATTATATCTTCTAATTTTAACCATATTTTTCATCGTATTTTGAAGACTGTTTTGTATTTTGAATGTTTTCTTCTTGTGAAGCTCCTCGTGGTTTTTATCTTGAATGTAAAAGATCATTTTCTTTCTTTAACTGGTTGCTAAATGGAGGAGAAATCGGTTCCTTTTTCCTTTTGGGAAGAACTTTTCAAAATTAGTTCGTCATTGCAAGCAGTGGGGATTTTTTTTCTTTTAACATTTTAAACCATCTTAAGTTATTTTCTAAGGCAGAGGAACAGAAATCCAGTGTAAAAAGGAAACCGCAATGCTCATCTTGTCACACTGGATGACACGGAGGCAGCTTAAGCGACGGGCATTATTCCACTTCATGCTTTTGCTTCTGGTGCTGCAACGGTTTGGCGTACGTTTACTTTCAGGTCTAATAGATTTTGAACAAACATTACACAACACCGTTGTCTGTTTACACATCCAACTTTGTAAAACTTAACCCTTTCCACTGCATTAAAGTAGAAAATCCTACTTTTGTAGTACTTTTGTTGCATCTAAGTATATTTTTTCCAGCAAACTGAGCTCTGCAGAGCAGAACTCTTGAGTAGAAAGGAGAAATTCTTTGTTGCAGACTTTGTTTTCATACGTTGTTGGGAAGTCCAGCACAAAGGAGTGTGTGAGTGTGTGTTCTGCTGCAGAGATGATATCATTCACACACTGATGATCATTCTCTCTGAATAATCAGCAGCCTGTATTGTTTCCATGTTACCGTCTGGTTTCAGCTCCACTTGCTTGGCATCTTTTAGAGCAGAATGAAAAAGTTTCAGCTACAAGATGACCTGAAAATATCTGAGTCTGAGGCTGCTGTAGCTCCAGCTTTGTTTATCACTGAACTCTCAGATTCAAGCTTTGTTTATTAAAAGTGGCACCAATATGCATCACTGCCATGACAACGATGCAGGAAAGATTTTAAAAGTGAAATTAATGCAATAAAACTCATTTTCCAACTTGTCTTATTAGAGTATCAGTGATGATGAGGAGAGCATTCATGCTGCCACCTGCACACCAAGTGTGAGTGGATGGTGGCTTGATTTCTGATTGTTTTGAATAACGTGCCGAGCCTTTGGACCTGCTTGTATGTGATCAGATTTACTGTCGACATTATTCATAACTGTGGAAGACTGCGGGAAGAGGAGAAAATGAAAGGGCGGAGGAGAAGGCGGGGACAGAAGCAGTAAAACGAGCTTTTGTACCTGCTCTCTTCATGTCCTTTAACCAATAATCGACCTGTCAGCTCTCAGATGATGGGCTTTGCCTTAACTTGATTCAAATCCAAATTTGCATATATGTGTGGATTATGTCAAGTTGTCACACCTTATAGTTTTCGATTAAATAAATTTAAAGTATTGCCTGTTTTATGACTGTTCAGAATTGTAATGATGGTCGAGAGTCTGAGTTCGTTCATTGACATTCAGAGGCTCGATGAGAGCTGTAAACAACCAGACAGCCTTGGAATTTGCACTCAAGCCATGTTGCTGGACACACACGCACACACACACACACACACACACGCACGCACACACACACACACACACACACACACACACACACACTCTTTTACTCTCCGCTTTCTTAACAATGCCAGACATTCACATGTATTCACACACACACACACACACACACACACACACACACGCACGCACGCACACACGCACGCATGCACACAGACACACACACAGAAGCCACAGCCCCCTCCACTCTCCCTCCCTCTCTCCTCTCCTTGCCCTCTTACGGGTCTGCAGCACATCAGCAGCTGCTGGAGAGCGCAGCGTAGCGTTTCAAAGCGGAGCCGAGGAGGGCAGGGCCCGCAGCGTGGCCCTGTGTGGCCCATCCTGTGCAGAGAGAGAGAGAGAGAATCTCCCCCCATTAATGTTGAGCGTTTCTCTCCCTCCTTTCTCCTCTCATCTCCAGAGCTGCAAGCAGAGCAACACCCAAGCTTCTCCTCTCCTGCCACTCAGGAACTGATGACAAGGCTGGGCTTTTTACTGGGAGAAGGGATCCCGGGTACGGCGCGCATACCTATGGACGACAAGAGTGAAAAGAAGGTATTTGATTTTCCTCCCTCCCCTTTACCTTCCTCCCTCCCTCCCTCACCCGGCAGCAGCTGCTACCACTGCTGCAGCACACAGACAGAGCGATAGAGGCGAGCTGATGAGAGGAGAGGCTAGTTGTCAGTGTAACAGTTGAGTGGATGATTTTGTTGCTACCTGATTTTTTTCTCTGGCGAGTTATGGACAGTTTTTCAAAGTGGACCATTTGGACATATTCTTTTTGGCACAACGAGCAATGGTAACTATCGGGCATTTTAATCCAAACTGTTAAATAGATTTCACTAAAAGTGAGTGGATATTAAAGAAGTGTAGCGTGTTGTTTTGATGTGTGAGCGAGCTCTTCTGTGCCGTGTGTTTCCCTCCCTTTAACTTAAGTGCTATTTCAGGGGCTCATGAGCACGTAACAAGAGGATCTGAGCATAAGACCAGAAATGGTTATGTTAGGTCTGAGCCTCAGTTTGTTGAACTGGACTAATTAAGCTGGGACTGTGTGAGGAGCAGCGCCCGGCGTGCTCTGCTTTCCTCAGTCATCGAGGATATGTTTTGACTTGGAATTGGCAAATCTAGGAATGTGAGAGCAGCTTGGAAACAGTTTGTATGTATCATAGTAATGAAGGCAGATGCCAGAAGAAGGAAGGGACGGGCATGGGAGGCTAATGGCTTTGACTTATTCATGTAGGTATGTGATATCAGACCTCATTATGGTCATCTGAGAGCAGTTTGGTTTTCCTCCCTAATGCTGCTTCACCGCACGTCTTTACCTCAGCATGTTGCTGGATTGCCTTAGAGCTAATTCTAAAACGTCTTGTCTGGTTTTTGACTCTTGTGGGTTTGCTAAAAGAGAAGGTGTTGCACAGTAAACCTTCAAGTTGCTAATCATGCCTCAAATCCATCCTTTCAGCATGATGTTGCAAAAATTTTGAGTCCTTCAAAGAGAAAGCAGAATAAAGAAAAATTATCTTTAAAATTTGACTGCAGAGATCAACAGGAGGAAAATGTTAACAACATTAGATGGTTTTTAATAACTTCTTACAGAAGAGAAACAGATTGTTGTTGTTTTATTTTTTTTTAGGTATTTGCTGGATTGAAGCATTATAAAATGTAGCTGTAGCCTTGGAAATGTCATTATTTCTGCAACAAATGAAGTGGTTTCATTAAGGTGAAGAGGTGACGTTTTCCAGCCTTGATCCTTTAGGAAGAATATTTGACATTGAAACCTGCACAGTCATTCTTGCATGTAAGGGATGTTTGAACCAAGCTAGTAGAATTGTGCATTTTATGGATAAAAGTAAAACAGATTGTTACTTTAATAGACATATTGTGCAAAACTTAACTTGTAACTTTTGTGCTGCTATGTGGATCTCAACTCCCTCCATAAACACCCAAAACATCCATCCAGTTAGTGTTTTAGGAATTATTGACCTAAAACAAGCCATTTCAAAAATTCCCTGAATGTGATGTCACAAAAGGGGAAATTGAATAGAATCACTTCCCATGTACAAGAGAACAGCTCTACTCCGAGCCCCTCCCGGATATCTGAGTTTCTCAGCTTAAAGGAGTCTGAGTGGGGAGTGGGTGGGCGTGGCCAGATCCAGCCCGATTTATTAAAGTGATAGAGCCCTGAATCGGCTTATTCTGGATGGTACTGAAAATGTCAAGAATAAAACAGCTGAAATTGCTTTATGTGAGAGGAAATTTTGCGCAAAGTCACAATATGTCCCCTTAAATTAGTTGTGTTTGAATCATTTGGTTCCATGTGAGTTAGGCAGGATATCTGCAGTTTAACATAGTTTTCAGATTCTTACAAAGATGCATGAACTAACTTCAGATACATCGAAACATGCCGGAGGAAAACGTTGAAACAGAACAATCGAGGTTTCATTTGGATTTCTCCGCCTGTCAGTTATTCCCAACAAAGATTTGGTTGTTGTGCGGCTGTTGGCAAGAACTCACGACAATAGAAGGTTATCTATTGTGTTCTTCAGGGTCTTTCAAACATATGGATACGAGAGTGCAGGTTTTAAACCCCGAGCCATTTACAGTGCTTTTTCTTGCCCTTCAGCTTGTGTGTCATGCTCACATGTGAAACGCGTGCTTGTTTGTGAAGGATTTTTTTCTTCCATTGGTTTCACATGATTCAGGTCAAAGAGGCGGTGAAGTTGGACCAAATCTTTTTTCTCTCCTATAAATTCAATTTCTTACAAATCCTGTTACAAAATATGTTTTCATTGGTGCTCAGTGTGAACCTTGTGCTATGCGAGGAAACTTAGTATTGTCTCCACACACTTGGTTTAATTAGAACATTTTTTTAATCTTTTCCTCTCAGTGCGATTTGACCAGTCAGGGTATTAGTCCCTGCTCCACACTGACCAGCAGCACGGCGTCTCCCAGTACCGACAGCCCATGCTCCACCCTGAACAGCACAACCAGTCGTCCCCCGCTCAGCCACTCCAGCCCGTGTGGAACCATCATCAGCCCCAGCTCCACACTCGAGAGCAAAGACAGTGGGATCATAGGTGAGACAAACCTCCCGTCATCCTTCTTGTTACTATTTAGGGTAAACCTGAAAGTGGTCATTCTTTTTTGACCCTTTTTAATAATATTTAAAGGTAAATGGGTGAATATATGTAAAGTTTCTGATAAATGGAGCTTTTATGTTTGCAGTTCAAAGCTATGCTATAACTAAATTTGGAAACAAGAGGAGTGAGTCTCACTGCATCTATTTTTTATATTGTTTTATGTATGGGTGTAGTTGAGCCAGGCTATTTTATTCTCTGTAAAACAAACACTAACTTAAAAGCTGAAGGCAGTATTTAACTGGGATTTTGCTGTTTGCAGCAATCTAGAGACATCAAAGAGTGAGAACAGATGGAATTTTTCTCTTGGAACTGCATGAAAGTGGTACTTATGACACTTTTGCAATAGTTTCTTTATATGGATGGGTCACATGAGGTATTTGGGTTCTAGATTATTGCAATGAGATTGCAGTTGTACTCAGAGGAACATCTAATGAACATTTCAAAAAGTTTTGGGAACTCCATCACAAATAGGTGTTTGCTACAAACTTTTGTGAAGCCAAAGAAACCAATGACCGCTTAGGCCGTGCACACGCAGCCGGGTAACCCGCTGAACCAGATGGTTTTTTTAGGGCAGGGCAATAAATCGAAAATTTATCATTATCGAAATTACTGACTCTTATCGTGATAATTTTTCCCATGTCAATACATTTGATAATAAAAAGAAAGATGTGTGTAGGTTGGCAGCGTTCATGTCCCTTTAAGAAGCTGTACCACCTTGAGTCACGTAATACACGTGACAGCCCCGTCTAGTGGACAACTTTTGTTTCTGCACATACCTGTAGTTATCGTCCATTTGTCGTTATCGAGGTGAAATCCTCAATATATCGTGATACTGATTTTAGGCCAAATCGCCCAGCCCTAGTTTGGCCTGTCAGCCACATGAAAGGGAAGGCATACAGCATCAAAAATGATTCTTTCAAAAACCAGCCTAAGTGGTGACTTGCAAATTCTCAATGTTAGCATTTGCTTGTGGATGTAACTAAATGTCAGTACCTGCAAAAAAACAAAAATACTCTTACCCTGTCTTTACACTCTCTTGTTTTCATAAACTTAATCACTGCTCCACATAGAAGACCACAGGCGAAGGACAGTTATTGCCGCCACCTAGTTATTCCTAGCCTACAAGTGTGGACAGACAGTAGTAGAGGCTAAATGATTTAGCTCTGCAGGTTGGGCTAGCCACTCTGCCAATCACAGCGCTCTGTCGGTTTGGTGGGCGGGATGGTGCGACTGAGTGAAGAAAAAAAGATGGCGATTGCTCGATTGTAACGGCCTGGCATCAACTTTGGACTACTTAGACTTGGGCTTTTCTTGAGTCAAAAGCAGACAGAGGTACTTAAGTCCTTTTTATATTTAGACAAAAAGATATATTTGCATCTTTGACAGTGTACGGCAGACTGCCCTGTTGACTGACATCTGTAACGGCGAATATGTCACCTCTCCAGTAGCATGTGGAGACAGTTTGAAAAGCAACAGTAGATTCCGCCCCACAGCTGAGCTCTGTCTATGGGGCGTGGCTAATCTTTATATTCTCATATGTAGGACGGCTTGTGTTATTCCACATGCTTTTCAGCAAAGACGTCGATGATTTGGGGAACTGCTGCCACCTACAGGCATGGCATGCATATTAATGTGTTTCACAATGACCGGGGTTGTTTTGCTGAAAACGAGGAGTTGTTGACAAAGGTTTCTTTCCTAGATGGGCGGGTATGGATATTTGGCATTATAAGAACCTGGCTACGCATGAGCATGGTCTCAGTGTAGACATTTTTTTATCTTATCGTTTCAAATTTTCGTTAAATATTTCTCCGCGCATACTGAGCCACCTTTTCTGATCCTCTCCCAAAAATCTAGTGGTTTCCTTAAAGCCTCTTTATCATCTTGTTTTTCATTTCGGAAGTTTTCCCTCTCACCTGCAGCGCGTGCGCCGGTGCGTCATCAGTCATTTGTTGCGCTGTCAAACTTCTGGAGACCGAATAGCATTTGTGTCACATAATGTTCACCCTTTGTGTCAGTCAGCGGGTTTGTATAAAGCTGCTGCATCATCAGAGAGTGACGAGTTGACAGTTGCAGCAGTTGAGTGTTGTGCTGAATCTCTGGTAATATCCCTAGAAGACATCTGGGGATTTACACAAGCTGACAGGAAGATGGTGAGGCCTATTGATGCATTAATTCATCTGCTGTTTCAGTTCTCTGGCTGCTTTTGAAATGCTCAAGATTTATTCTGAAAATAGGTTGTGAATATTTAGAGTGAGACTGTCACGAGTCTGCTGTTATTTATTGATGTTTGAGTCAGCAGCTGTGTCTAAGGGCCAAATCCCTTTGTGAACTGAAACGATACAAGATGCAATTCAAACAAAGACAAGTCAAAGTGCGCAATGAAAAACTGGTAAAAAGACCACCATGTTATTGGGAAAATGCATGGTAATTCAAAGTCCAATCAAAACGATTTCAGCTCTCTAGAGCTGATAGTACTGATTGCCATGAGTCAGTCACTCTGTCCTCTCACAGCAATATCACGGCTAGCTTGTGAATAATTTATGAAAGCTGTGATATAATGTCTTCCAGCTAGAGACTTTGATGCAAATCAAAATTAATCGTTCGAGGCATCGCTACAGGAATTCTGACCAGGAGATCTCAGAGTTTTAGAAACGTATTTAAAGTAAGATTCTAGGAATAGGAAATTGTGCCATTTGAAGGATTTCTGAGTTGTAATTTCTTCCATCTTTTAGCTCTTTCTTGATTTTTGTGGAAATGGTGCACAAGTCATTCAGTGACACACAAACAAAGCTAACAAAGCTAGTCTGACGGACTTGAAATTGTTTTTTTCTTTAGTTCTTGCATTGACAGATGGAACAAAAATTGAAGAACACAAATTTGTAGAAATGTGACAATTTCTGCTTTTTCACTCGGCCATCAACTCGTTCAGGCTTCTGTTTTTAAACCAACTCTAAAACCAAACCCTGAAGATGCACAACAATGGTGTTAATACACACGGATATCCAAAAACAAACCATCTCAGGGTGTCTGCAGGAAGCCAAGCTGAACACGCCTTATTAAGGTTCATGTGATTAAACTTAAGACCTTACATTCTTGGAGTGAAAAAGGATCAGGTGACTGGAGGTTGATATTGGTTTTTCAATAGCGGATGTCGATATGTAGGAGACGTATATCGCGTCTGACGATTTCCATGGCCGGTATCGAGACATTTTTCACCTCTTTTCATGCAAAGATGTCACTAATAACATCCGTTAATGCACAGAATTTCTGAAGCTGCTTAATTTTGTATCTCTGAATTTAACAAATTAACTTTTATGCATTTTTCAGTGTTAAAGTCAGACACCTAAATAAATCTCATTTAGAGTATTTATTATGCAGATGTTATTGGTGAAAGTAAAATGCTTTTGAATTAAATTCTGCAACAGCACTGGGCTGTCCGAGGATGTGCCTGACTTTAAATCAGCTTTACTGAGGAGAAATATCGGACAGTCAGTGTATAATGGTAAAAATCGGCCTGATATATTCCCTACCCCTAGATGTGACCGCCTTTGCAAATAGTTCTGTCCAGACCTCCACTGGAACTAAAAGTGCTGCAAAAAACACAAACATAGAGATAACTGCTCTGCAGAGGATGAAAGTGCATGTTTTTGCAAAAACAATGCAGATCCACTAAACATGCACCTCCCTGTGGCTCACACGCCCACTAGCTAAAGTGACTAACACACACACACACACACACACACACACACACACACACACACCACACACACACACATGCACACACGCGCGCACGCACACACACACACACACACACACACACACACACACAAATGTCGGTAGTTCCTCTCATGCCTGTCTCAGATGCAAAAACACCAATTCAGACTTTGATCAATTAAAAGCAATTTCTAAATGAAACAAAACAATCTTGTTTGTCGGGTCTGTGATGTCTTAAAAACTTTTGGGCGCTGGTTTTGAGGATTACTTGTTATAATTTAAGGATTTTTAAATTGTTTATTATGGAAAATCACATTTAAGACGTTTTAAGGATCAGAGAATTCCCTGCCTTCTCTCTTGAAACACAATGGAATGAGTCTGCAGTCGTGGACATCATGAGGATGTAACTGAGCAGCTCTTTTTTCTTTTCTAATAAATGTTTAGAGCTGCAGAACACAAAGAGATTAATGCTAAAACATGATGACATTTAACTTTATTTAAGATGTATGGACTTAAGCATGTAAGTGTTTTATGTACCATTAGTGTGTGTTGGGTAATGTTCAGAATCACTGGGCTTCAGCATCTCGCCACCCCCATCAGTCTGGAAAAATGGTTCAAAGCTGTTCCTGTGATTAATGTCTCCTGTGCTTTGAAGTTTTCACCCTGGCTCTAGTTTGAAAAGAACATTTATTTAACTTTGTGGCGCATTAAGTTTTCTTTTAAACAAAATTTACACAACAGCTGCAAAGGGTGCCTAAAGAAGGCGTTTAAAGAGGCCTAAAATCACGGTTTCTTTTATCTTGTGAGAAAAAAATGCAAATAGTCTAAATTTGGGCAGGACCCGAAGTTTAATCTGTTCCTTTTCTCCTAAACGAGAGCGGAGTTGGATGTTGGAGCTTCCTGTTTGCATAGATAAAGAGAGCAGGAGTCACAAGGTCCAGAGTGTGTTTGCTCTATTAATGATGATGCAATGTGCTGCGGCGTAATGAAATCCAGATCAAGCGTGTCTGCAGCGAGCACAGCCAGGTGGCCGGTCACTCAGACTGCGTTAATGGTTTTTCATCTAGCAGCTCATGGTTGTGTGAATTCAGCTCTGCTCAGCGTGCATCACTGTGTTAGAGGATTAGTGGATCTGTTCCCATGTAAACAAAACACCTGTCTGAACAAATCAGAAACAGCTTTTTACAGATGTAGGTGTGCACTCTTTTTTTTACCTGCAACGATACTTAGATTTACACAGCAACTGTTTTATAAAATGCATCTTTAAATCGATTACGGAAAACAAGAAAAAGGAAATAAATCAACAAATCTAAGCTATCCTGCTTCCTTGCTTTCATTATTGCAAAGAGACCCGCTGTGAATATGAAATGAGCTTCTGAGCCGTGTTGATGGGACTGTTAAGGGAAAAAAAAGTTATTTAAACTTCTATTACAGCTTCTTTTCTCAGATTAACCTGGATAAAAATTCATAATGTGTCTAAATGATCCTGTTTTTTTTCCACCTCGATGCAGCCACCATCACTAGTTCTTCAGAGAACGATGACCGCAGTGGCTCCAGCCTCGAGTGGAGTAAGGATGGCAGCCTAAGAAGCAGCGGGCGCCATGGCCTGGCACAGAGTGTCCGGGCTGACACGTGCTCCCCTGTGGTGGAGGAAGACTCCAGCAGTGCCACAACAACACCAGCTGACACCCCGTCTAGGACTGAACACCAGCAACAGCCGTCCCACGTACCAGCACCGCGACCTCCAGGTCACTCACCTGAGGTACCCAGTCAGTACCCTCCGCCGACATCCTCCTCCTTGATGATGCCAAGACCAAACTCTGTTGCTGGTAAGAAATATTTAAATTCAATCCGTTTTAGTCTTAAAAGAGCAAATTCAGGGGCCAACCGTTTTTACTTGTTTTTGAAAAATGACCGGTCGCTCCCGAGTTTCACATTCAGGCTGAATGTGAAACTAGTCTTCTACCCCTATTTCCTGCATTAGCTGCTGAAAGATAAAATTGTGGGGAAACGTTTGAGTCAGAAAAAGCCACACAGATCTGTCACACTGTAAATTAGCATTCTTGGACTCACCCATCTTGGCTTAAGACAGGGAAGGCTCTAGTTGGTTAGCGTCAAGAGGAGAGAGCATAGAACCTCTTGGCTATTCTTGGAAGTTAACCATTAACTCATTCACTGCCAACGACGACAAAAGTCGTCATTTGCATTTTTTTTACTGTTTGAGCATCGGAACGAGCCCCCGCGCTGAGAGAACAAACATCTCAGCCCTGAAGCCGATCTTCATCCGCATACGTCACAGATCACATGATCAGGAAGCAACACATCCATGTGTTTGGAGATCGTTTTGGGCCGTTCCTGTAAAAAAAATGAGGCGCGAACCGGAAAAGCGTCTGCCGATCACAATTCGACAACGGATTATGAAAGAACTGATAACGCTCGAAACACGCGGCTTCTTCCTGATGTAAGAGGTGAGTCTCCGCTTTGTTTTGGTTGTTTTGGCATCGACATCATGCTAGCGCGCAATGTTCTGTGACTCTTAAAAAAACAGTAAAAACGGTGAGAAACGCTGGCAGCGAAGGCCGTTAGTGATCAGGAAACGGCTGGCAGTGAATGAGTTAACATTAGCAACTTCACCACACGACAGAAGTCCTCCAGGCTGTGTTATCTGTGGAGATAAAACATCAACATTGCAGAGCAAACAGAGTCCGTGGTAGAGTCGCATCGCAGTTAGCCAGTCACAAGCAAGATATTCATATATTATGAATAGTAATGCGAAAGACTCCAAATCCTGCTGTTTTCTGTCCCCTGCTCTTCCGGCTATCTTCAACCTACTGAAACGGGAGCGCCAGAGCTTTTTTTTCCACCCACAGAAACTAGATGTTCAAGTTGTTTATTTTTACAAGAGACCACAGCAGATGTGAATGAGAGCTTTAAACGAATTAGAAACCCCTAAAAGCATATGGAGGTGCAGCAGAAATGTGTCCAGGTTGTGCTTTTCTCAGCGGGGCAGAAGCTTCGGATTAGGCAGCTGCTGCATATTGAGCCTGAGCTCTGACTGACCTGTCAGACCTGAACACAAGTCTCTGCCCGGCTGATCTGTTCTGCATTCCTACCCTTGAACCTCCCTGTTGTGGTTCGGCTCACGATATCCGCACAGCTGTCACAGTTGTTGATCTAACTCAGTGCCCCCTTTTTCCCCTTTTGCTGGTTTTTGCTGCCATTGCTGCTGACCTTGACCTAATGATAGAGCTGCTATTCATGAGCCATCACATTGTGCTCCGCTGTGCTCTCAGTTCACAGAGTTATTGGATGTTTAGTTGACTCTGAAATCACCAGCAGTCTCGTCCACAGTGCTGTATAACTAGAGGGTGATGATTTTACTGCATACCAAGGGTAGCTGTCTAAGCTCAGGCTGAGGTTTCATGGAAACTTGAAATAACAACAATATAAACATGAAGGGCGTGAGTCCAGCACTTGTTTAAGGGACCGGCGAGTGCAGGTTAAAGCTAAACTGCCGTTTAGGGACAGGGTAGATTGTGCAGAAAATCAGGTTTTAGTCTCAAGGGCGGACAAAGAAAGATGTTTTAAACAGCGTTGGAGCTAAAAAATGTCACCTTGCTCCTGCAGACGGTTTCACTGATGAGGTGAAATTACAGGAGCAGAGGGCAAGTTGGGTTGAACTCACAGAAGAAACATAAAACACGAGTGCACTCAGACTGGCGGCCAAGACGTTGCAGTTTTTCCTGCTGTTTGTTTACTGAGGGGTTTTCATCGTGACGATACTGTGTCTTATCTTTTACTTTGTGTGGCATAAAGTTGAGTTGTCTAGACGAGCGCCGGCTCATAAAGCTAGCACACCAGGAAATCTCTGCAAGTGGATGTGTGCTTGTTTCCGTGCGTGAAGCGGTGTTTATGGGCTGATGTCATAGTTATGCAGCGTTGCCCTCAGGGGACCTTGACAATTCACACCTTAGATTTTATGCCGTGTGGCAAAACCATGGGAGAGGACATCAAGGACACGGTGAGACAGCTTCATTTATGGCTCCAACCAGGCGGTTTAGGGATCACGGTGTGCTGGGAATAGTCCTTCTTCTCCACTAACGCTCAAGGGAATCGCATTCAGCAGAGAGATAATGATTATTCTGACAACCACGTCTGAAAAATGAAGAAATTGTTTCTTCATTGTAGCTGGCTGCGAGTTACGTATATGTAATCAAAGATTGGAGATGACATGGTTTAATTGAGTGCAATCTAATCGAGTTTGAATGTTTTAGTGTAACTTATTTTTTTCATTCCCATTACAGCCGTGCGTATGAGCATGGAGTTGAGAAATGTTTTTTGTTGTTTGGTATTGGTTTTTTAATCAGCCAGTTGTTTAGTGTCAGTGTTGCTCGTGTTGTGTTGAGCCTTTTCTTCATGGTCGCTCTAGCAGATGGCAGCAAATTCCAGTACGATGCTGGTTTAAATTTGCAGTATGAGTTTAAACAGGAGGTAGGCATGAAAGTAAATATTATCTTTCCTGCTTTTACACCCTAAACTCAAAAAGACAAGGACATCTTTTCACAAATCCCAGGTTTTATGTAACGACACATAATAAAAAAAAACATTCCATTTTATTATTCGATCTAAACATGAATACAGACGGGGGGGAAAAAGCTGTCAATGTCTATTAAAGAAAAGTCCTAAGGCAGAAGCTTTGTGTAAAATAAATAAATAAATAAATAAATAAAATCTTATGATTCAGTAGCTTGTAGAAATATTATCTTGATTTCTTTTACTTTAACCATCTTTGTAGACTGGCAAGCCATGTAGTCTGGTCACGACCCATAGATAGAGCACAGACGTTGTCTGTCACCCTGTCTCCACATGCAATTGGACAATGCTAGGACCAATCGGAGGAACGAACAACGCGATGGAAGTCAGTCAACGGGGCAGTGTGACACACGCCGTCCACGAAGACGAAGCAGCAAAAATCCTTTTTTGAAATAAATTTGCTCACGACTCAAAAGAAAAGCCCACGTCTAAAAACCGTTCAAAGTTGATGCCAAAGCCCTTTCAAACGAGCACCATTCCTGAGCCGACTCCATCTTTGTAGTTTTTTTCCTTTGCAGTTCTGGTTTTAAGCCTACCCAACAAATGTAGTGCTGAGATTGGCAAGACACAAAATTGTGCAGGCCAATGGTAGACCTGCAGAGGCTAGTGTGGAGCATGGCTAGACTGCTTCTACTACAGTTGGTCTACATTTCTAGGCTATCGTCTTTGTGCAGTTGTAGAGAAACTTGGTCCTTCTGCAACACTTTGTTTTCCTGTCAGAATTTAATCAATACATTTCATGCTGTGCTTCACATAAATGTTCTTGTTGCATGCCGTAGTTCGGCAGTAATAACTCAAATGTGCCTACAGCTGCAAAAACAAACCCAAATCACTGTCCCTCCACCGCCATGTTTGACAGTTGGACAGCTTAAATCGATACTTTTATGCTATGAACAAATTTTTATCAAATGAACCGCAGTTCATTATGGGTAAACATTATACTGTCAGTAATATGAGGCCTGTGTAGTCTGATATGCTTTAATTGAGATTTTTTTAAAGTTATCTCTTTGTACATTGTGCGTTCTGACCTTGATGCGAACCTGTTGGAACGTGCCCTCATGTGAAAATTGGCAACCATCTAGAATATTTTCTACTGTCCACCTGTGCTTTTTCCGGCTTGTTGGCCAGCAACAATAGCTTCTTTAAGATCACTGCTGAGGGTTTTGTGTTAACACACCACCTGAATGCTGCAGAGCATCAAACTGTCAAAAGTTCACATTTTTTCAATGAGTCCGAGGTTTGATTAGCAGCACCTGGCTGCTGCTTAGCCTCATTCCCATGGAAGCAGAACAACTCTAAATGTGACATCTTGAACTATTTTTTATGTCTATGAATTGCAACAAGTTAAGTCTGTAGATGTTTTTTCTCTGTGGGATCAACCAGTTTATTAAGTCTGGCTTTTTGCCAGTTGCACAGGGTCATCTTGCAGCATCGGATACAAAAGAAGGCCTTAATGCCAATGCTCTTGAAGAGTATTTTATTCTTTATGTTGGCGTACGGGCAATGTTGTTTACCACTTTGAACGGTGGAAGATTTCTTCTCTATTAGAATTCCTCAAAGTAGAAAGATCTCTGGGCATTGCACATATTTATCAGCAAAGATTTCATGCAATCAAAGATGTTTAGAGAAACTAGTAGATGTGCGAGTGGCCTTTTCCTGGGTCTCTCTGCTTCAGCCTATTATGTGAGTTATCTGTAAACATGTCCTTTAGATCAGGAATAGACAAATGCATTGATTGGCTGATTTATTGGGCTCATATTTATGATTTTTTTTTAAATATATCTACATCGGCCAATACACTCTTATTTGGAGCCAAGTTAAAGTCGGGCAAATCTGCGATTACCGTATAAGTACATTTCTGAATATCATCTGCATAATAAGTGCTCTTAAACATTATTGACTTTTTTTTAAAGGCGTGGAACACCTTTTTAATCCATACATTTGCAGTGGTCTCTAGTAGGAATGAATGCCTTGATAGTGAAACTCTGGGGGGGAAAACTCCTGTGCGCCAGTTTCAGGAACTAGAAAACATCAGAGGAGAGCTTCAGACGGCAGGATTTAGTATTATTTCCTGATATTTGGACATCTCTCCTCTGAATGGATAACAACAATGCAACTCTACCACTGACTCAATTTGCTCTGCAACATTGATGTTTTAGCTCCACAAATAACACAAGCCTGAAGGAGTTCTGTTGTGTGGTGGAGTTGCTAATGCTAAAGATTAGCTTCTAATAGC